CTCGCCAAGGCCGACGGCGCCAACCTCGCGGGGGATCCTCGCGGCGGCCTCGGAAGACCACGCGCGGACCCCGCCCGCGACCGCTGAGGAGGAGGGCGGGGTTCACTTCGTTCGGCAGCTCCCGAGCAAGTTGGATCCTAGTTACCTCCCCCTCAGAAATCGCGAGGTGCACGTGCGAGTTCGCACGCGGCCCTTTCGGGCCTGCTTGGCGTTCTCGGGCGGCTGCTCGAGGGCGTCGCGGCGCTCCACCGCGACGCCCCCGCCGACCCTCGAGACCTTGGCGGGCTTTGCTACAAGTGCCCCCTGCCCAGGGCGCCTCCACGATTCGCTCCAAAACGGAGCGAACAACTGGGGGCACCTTGGGGCAGGGGCACTTGCAGCAACCGCCCACCTTAAGGTCGGTGTAGTGCGCGGGCGCCTCGGAATACACGCATATCAAGACGTGCTGGGCCTTGCCGACTCTCTCGGCGCAGCGCCGCTGCTCCTCGGCCTGCTGGGCGGCGGGCTCGCCCTCGCCCTGGGGCTTTTGAGCCCAGGCGACGGCTGCCGCGGGCTCGACCGCCCCAGCGGTCTCGGGGGCGCCCGCGCGCCCCTCGATTTCGCCCAGCAGCGCGCGCACTTTGCCCAGCTCGAGGGCGCGCTCCTTGGCGAGGTCGGTGCGGCGAGCCAGCCTGGTCTGCCGCCAGACGAACTCGAGCGGCTTGGGGAACTTGCCGTCCTGCTCGATCGTGACCTGTGGCGCTCGGGATTCACAAATACTCGTTAGCTTCCGCTTGCTTCCGCTCCGCGTCGTTTCCGCCTGGTTCCGCTTGCTCCCCGCCAGCTTCTGCCGCTTCCGCCGTCGCTTCCGCCGCCCCCGCTAGCCCCCGCTTGCTTCCGCCGCCTCAGTCGGAAGCTGGCGGAAGCAAACGAGTGCAGGTGAGCCCCCCGGCCTCGATGCTCTCTATCTGGAAGATCGCCGCGGCCCCCGCCTCGAGGGCGCGCAGGCGGCGCGCGCCCTCGGCGCCCAGGACTCGCCAAACGCACTGCACTCTGCCGCGCCTGCCCTCGCGGACCCCCTCCTCAGTGACGCGCGCCACCTTGCCGTGCCAGGGGGGCCCTCGCAAGCCTCGAGGCCTGTGTTCTTCTTGGCCTTCACTTGCTTCTTGGCGCCCTTCTGCGCTTGCTTCGTCTGCTTGAAGTTCCGGGGGGATCTCGCCTTCGCCTTCGGCGGCCTGCCTGTGAGCTTCGCCTTGGCCGCGCCTCGGCTCAGGTGCTCGAGCGAGGCCACGCCGCCAATATTGGCCTTCTCGCGCTGCCACTTGCACGCGCGCTTGCCTGTGAACTGGCCCGAGAACTTGCATAGAGACCGCGCTGAGGGACCACCCCCTGCGCACCCTCTCTGGCGTCGAGGAAATGCCACCCCTGCCGCGCTCTCCGACCCTGGCACGCATAGAGACCGCGCTGAGGGACCACCCCCTGCGCACCCTCTCTGGTGATGAGGAAATGCCACCACTGCCGCGCTCTCCGGCCCTGGCACGCATAGAGACCGCGCTGAAGGGGCACCCCCTGCGCGCCCTCTCTGGTGTGAGAAAGTGCCATCCCTGCCGCGATCTCCGACCCTGGCACGCATAGAGACCGCGCTCAGGGACCACCCCCTGCGCACCCTCTCTGGTGTCGAGACAGCGTCACCCCTGCCACGCTCTCCGACCCTGGCACGCATAGAGACCGCGCTGAGGGGCCACCCCCTGCGAACCCTCTCTGGTGTCGAGAAAATGCCACCCCAGCCACGCTCTCCGACCCTGGCACGCATTGAGACCGCGCTGAGGGACCACCCCCTGCGCACCCTCTCTGGTGTCGAAAAAAGTGCCACCCCTGCCGCTCTCCGACCCTGGCACGCATAGAGACCGCGCTGAGGACCACCCCCTGCGCACCCTCTCTGGTGTCGAGGAAAGTGCCACCCCTGCCACGCTCTCCGACCCTGGCACGCATAGAGACCGCGCTGAGGGACCACCCCCTGCGCACCCTCTCTGGTGATGAGGAAGTGCCACGCCGCGCTCTCCGACCCTGGCACGCATGAGACCGTGAGGGACCACCCCTGCGCACCCTCTCTGACGCCGCGCTCCCGACCCTGGCACGCATAGAGACAGCGCTGAGGGACCACCCCCTGCGCGCCCTCTCTGGTGTGAGAAAGTGCCACCCCTGCCGCGCTCTCCGACCCTGGCACGCATTGAGACCGCGCTGAGGGACCACCCCCTGCGCACCCTCTCTGGCGTCGAGAAAGTGCCACCCCTGCCGCGCTCGCCGACCCTGGCACGCCTAGGGACCGCGCTGAGGGACCCCCCCCTGCGCACCCTCTCCGGTGCCGAGAAAGTGCCACGGTGTCGAGAAATTGCCACCCATGCCACGCTCTCCGACCCTGGCACGCATAGAGACCGCGCTGAGGGACCACCCTGCGCACCCTCTCTGGTGTCGAGAAAGTTCCACCCCTGCTACGCTCTCCGGCCCTGGCACGCATAGAGACCGCGCTGACGGACCACCCCCTGCGCACCCTCTCTGGTGTCGAGAAGGTGCCGCCCCTGCCGCGCTCTCCGACCCTGGCACGCATTGAGACCGCGCTGAGGGACCACACCCTGCGCACCCTCTCTGGTGTCGAGAAAGTGCCACCCCTGCCACGCTCTCCGACCCTGGCACGCATAGAGACCGCGCTGAGGGACCACCCCCTGCGCACCCTCTCTGGTGTCGAGGCAGTGCCACCCCTGCCACGCTCTCCGACATTGGCACGCATAGAGACCACGCTGAGGGACCACCCCCTGCGCACCCTCTCCGGTGTCGAGAAAGTGCCACCCCTGCTACGCTCTCCGGCCCTGGCACGCATAGAGACCGCGCTGAGGGACCACCCCCTGCGCACCCTCTGGTGTCGAGAAAGTGCCACCCCTTCCACGCTCTCCGACCCTGGCACGCATAGAGACCGCGCTGAGGGACCACCCCCTGCGCACCCTCTTTGGTGTCGAGAAAATGCCACCCCTGCCACGCTCTCCGACCCTGGCACGCATAGAGACCGCGCTGAGGGACCACTCCCTGCGCACCCTCTCTGGTGTCGAGACAGTGCCACCCCTGCCACGCTCTGCCGTGCCGTGCCCTGCGCGCCAGCCCTGTGTGCTAAGGTGTGTTGTGTTGTGTTGTGCTGTGCTGCTGTGCGGTGAGTTGTGCTGTGCTGTGCCGTGCTGCGGTGAGCTGTGTTGTGCTGTGCTGTGCTGTGCTGTGCTGTGCTGTGCTGTGCTGTGCTGAGCTGAGCTGTGCTCAGCTGTGCCGTGCTGAGCTGTGCTGAGCTGTGCTGAGCAGTGCTGTGAGGAGAAGGAGGGGGAATAGTGAGGTGAGCGTCGCGGGTGCGGCGCGGCAGGGAAGAAAACCATAACCCCACGAAGCATGTGGGGAAATAGTTGTGGCAATCACATGGGTGAAAACACCTCGGGGTTTCAAATAACAACATGGGCATGCGCAGTGGCATTTTCACGTGACGCCCGTGTCCTGGCAGCTCATGCCCCCCATGAGCGCGACAGCAGGGCTTGCCATCTGCGTCTACGCATCGTGTTTCGTGCTTACTATCTGGGCCATCCCCGCCCCGATGGGGACAGTATCTCACTCGATTAAGCACAGTTTGGGCCACTGGCGTGAGAATTGGAACGACGATGATGGGGGTGATGACGAGGAGGGCAAGCAGGGGGAGAGGATGAACTGAACGAATGCGAGGATGATGATGGGGGGAGGAGGAGGAGGAGGAGGAGGAGGAGGAGGAAGAGGAACAGAAGGACGAGGAGGAAGAGGAGCAGGAGGAGGATAATGATATGATGAAGATGAGAAGGAATGAGATGATGAGAAGGAGGAGGAAGAGCAGAAGTGAGAGGAGGAGGAGGCCTACAGAAATGTCCTGGGATGCGGATGAGGATAATGTGGGGTATGAGGAAGAAGCTGGCGAGAAAGAAGTTGGCGAGGAAGAAGGTGCTGGGCATCCTCGCTGGGCTGGCTGCTAGAGACAACCAGTGACCCTAATCGACCGTCTCGCACGGGACATCTGCGCAATCTGCTCTGGAAGCTAATGTGTCGACGAAACCAAACGAGCCCAGACCGAGATAAGGATGAGAGGGAGGTTGGAGGTGGAGTAGCAGGAGGAACGCAGGGTTGTCGAAGACCTATCAACCGATCACGAGCTAATCAACCGACGCGTCCGATTTACCGATCAACCAATCGGGCACAAACCAACCGATCCAGTCGATGCCGATGAGTCGATGATCGGCCCAGCAGCCGATCAGCCGATAAGCGTTCCAGCAGCCGACTAGCCGATCCGCCAATCAGCGGCCGACCAGCCGATCAGCCGATCAGACGCAGACCAACCGATCAGCCGACCAGCCGATCAGCCGGTAAGCAATCGACCAACCGATCCGCCGATCACTCTTATCGGCTGATCGGCTGATCGCCTGGTCTGCGTCTGATCGGCTGATCGGCTGATCGGCCAGATCGAATGGCCCCCCCGGGCTGCCGTCACAGTGCAGACATGGCCCAAGGACTGCCACGAGAGACGCCCCAAGACGGCCAACGAGAGTAGACGATCCGAAAGGGCCCCAAGGCGGCCCAACATGGCCTCAAAGGCCCCAATACTCAATACTGCCCCACAAGAAACTGAGAAAGGACAGAGGAAACGGAAAAAGACGACGAAGGCGAGAACAGAACCCCCGACACGACACGGAAGAGCGTGTCAAATGTTACGGCTCTCCCAAGCCTCTGGACACGAAGTGTCGCACGTGAGGCTTCGGGTGCCCCCTCGAACAATGCTTGGGATGCTGGGCTGGCACGGTGGCAGGACATGCCGCCGGCAGCTGGATCGTTTTGGTCCTGGACACTTTCTGCTACAGTCCTGGGGCACGGGAAGGGCTCTGGGAAGCCGAGCGCGGGGGGAAACCTCCAGGACCATCTTCTCCTCATGGTGGCGAGCACGCGGGGCTTCGGCTGGGCGGGGCGGCCGGTATGTGCTTGGAGCGCAGCGGGCCCCAGCGCAGCTGCTGCTGCCGCGGGGCGGGTGCGACAGCGGCCCCTGGCGCCGCGCCGCCTCGAGTCGAGGACTGGGGCACCCGTGTGGCCGCGGTTGGAACTTCCTTGAGACAAATCCGGGGCAAACTTGTTCACCTTGAACACCCGGGACAAACTTCCTTGAGACAAATCCAAGGCAAACTTCCTTGAGACAAATCCGGGACATTCTGCCTGGGTCGCATCCTTGAGACAAATCCGGGGCAACCTTGTTCACCTTGAAACTGCTCTGTGCGTTTCGTGCCGTGCCCGCAAGTCGCGCCGTGCCTATGGTTCAGGATCAAGAGCCGTGACATGACGGCATATCGGCAGCAGTGTAAACAATCGTCATGATACACACTGCTGTCGAAAACCGCTTTCCACGTAGTGAGACAGCTGCTGCTTCTGTCCAGGGCGGCGGACAAACGACCGTCATCTCCCCGAGCGGCCCTGAACGCATGCATTATGGTCCTGCGCCCCCCAGGAAACCCTGTTTTTCCAGAGTGCAAGAGAAGAGTTGTGTAACCCGCGTGCCCTGGCGTGCCGTGCCGTGCCTACGTGCCGTGCACGCGTATTTCGATGTGGAGTCACCATGTGCCCGCTCATGCAACTTTTTGTCCAGGGCCTAGTGTCTCTGTGCCGGGGTAATTTTTCAACATCAGCGCAAAGCTGTCCAAATACTCATGACCAGTGGTGGAGGGCTGGCCAGGGCCTGAATCAAAATGCCGTAGGGGAAAAACGGGCGACCACCACGTACACGTGCTGGGTACGTACCGTAAGCTGGCAATCTCCGCAAACAGATGCATCCATGAACGCCGCGACGAGCAGCGTAAGCACACCCCAAATAGGCAAATGCGGGTCGCACGGCGAGACGAGTACCGTGACGCTGGGCCAAACGAACGAGACTAGGTCGCAAAGAACGCCCTCAGTCCGAAACCATCGCCCCCCCCCCCCCATCCTCCGGCCTTCAGGTCCGGAAAGTAACCAAGCCGCAATTCACGCAACAGAAAATGTCGCCAGACCCCCCGTGGAGGCCGCCTGACTCGGCGTGGCATCACAGGCACGTGAGCCGCTGGTCGCCCAGAAGAGACGCGCACTGAAGGACGTGGACCGAGCGGCGCACCCATGGAACCAGTAGCGCACACCGGAGGAGGAGGAGGAGGAGGAGGAGGAGGAGGAGGAGGAGGAAGAAGACGAATTGGAGCAGCGGCAGCGGCAGCGGCTGGAGCAGGGAGATGGGAGGAGCGCGCTGGGAGAACTGCAAGGAGATGTGGCGGCAAACGGAGCAACCCCATGCTGCCTGACCATCCTAGATACATACATTGATGGCTTGCACATGCACGCGCTACCTTCGATGCTGTTGGGTTATCGAGGAACTGCACGCTGTCTGCTCAAGGAGCTGGGCCAACAAAGATTGGAAGGTGGCTGTAGCAAATGCTGTTCAACGAGGACTGCCACTTACGGAAGGGACTGCACCGAATGCGTCACTGCCCTTGTCTGAGTCGCTCCTGCCGCTGTATGTACCTTGGCCTCTGCCTCGACCTGATCCTGGCCATCCAACTTCGCATGTCTTGCTTCGCGAAAACAACGGCGCGGTTATCTTCGCGCTTTCGTGCCCTCCTCCTGAGAACCCCGTGGGAGGGACGCTTCTCCAGTCCAGACCGCGAACCGCCTTCATTGCTCCGAATGCTCTACTACTACTGCGTGATACACTACTACTGCTGCTCCTACTGCTACCTCTGCTGCTACTGCTACTGTTACTGCTACTACTGATAATTAAGACTACGCCAACTACCACAACAGCTACTACTAGTCCTGCTGCTACTACGACTACGACTACGACAACGACAACGACCACGACTACGACTACGGCTGGGATGGAAAGATGTTCAAGGAAAGCGGGTCGAGAGCTCCGTGGGCCAGCGGGGACTCGGGAACGCCAGGATCGTTTTAACGGCACAGGCCGGGCAACGGTGGCCTTTCCAATGGGGTCCGCAAGCGCAGATGCAATAGTTTGTTGCCTGAATGGACTACCCCAACTGCTGCGCGCAAATATTGCTATGTAATGCGTCGGCGGGCTCAAATATTGTACCAGCATGTACTGTTTTAATGAATGCACCTTTGTACGCCACCTATGCTTATGTTTTATTGCTCGTAGGTAATGCCACCGATTGCCTCATAGAAACAAATTATTGCATTCGCGCTCGCGAACTACGGCATCCCAACTATTGCATTGTGCATTGCATCATGCACGTGTGCGATATCAACTGGTGCAGACACTGTTGCACACATGCTTGTGGCCTGCTCTGCAAAGGACCACACTTCCAAATTCTAACCAACTTGTCCGACTTGTCTGCTCGGCTGGGGGCGCCTTGTGAACAGCGCGCCTCCGTCGGCACTGGCTCCGCAGGCGGCGGCCGCCCCTGTGGCTGCTGCTGCGGGTCCTCGGGGGTTATG